ACAGACTCTGCTCCTGAACTGAATGTCTGATGCAGCTCCCTCTCAACTTAATATATGCGTAGTTTTAAAAATCTTATCTTATTTTCCCCTTTTCCACTGCCATCCCTTTTGCAGCAGGGTAAACAAATGTTGGTGTTATTGAATAAAGTTGTGCTCTGAGTGCCAAAGCGTACTCTGGCAACAAACCGGGTATTTTTTAATAGGGGAGCACTATAAGCCTGCCCCTGTAATATCCTTCTGTACAGTCTGTGACCATCTCCAGATATCCAGAGCAAACTGTGGTCTCTGAGACACTTTACTGCAATAAAACTAATGGACCGTTCTCTTTAACTAACAGACAGAAAACATGTTGTAAACTAGTCCACCTGCTCCAAATGTTTGTCCTCTGGCCAGTTAAGTAACAAGTCTGTGACAGCCGCGAATGAAGTTGGTTTTTTTGGCCCTTCTTGTCCTAGAAACAGGTGCAGACTTTCACCGCCAGTCTCACCGATTTCAAAGCAGACAGCTTATGACTTTGTGTAGAAACTCTTCCGGCTATTCCTTTTTACTTCAGTAATATGTACAGCATCTGGTGACACCTCCATCGACCTTAATTTTCCTGCTTGACTCAAACCGCCACATCTAATTTCTTTATAGGCTACTTTTTATATTGTAGCTAAAAGCCCCAGATTTAGATGCATGCAAAGTTTAACTTTTATTATCAACAGCGGGAGGGGCAGGGTTTTATCGAGTGCGCATCTCTCAACATGTGCGACGTTACAGTTATATAGCTGTAAATTTAGATTCCATCTGCACCCACCAATTTGGAGTTCATCCTGTGGGCCTTAGGTGTAGCAAAGTCTGTGATGTTACAGCCCAAGTCCAGATTTCTGGCTCTGCTGTTCCCCATGAGTAAACTGGTTAGAACGGTCCAAATAAATCTTACATGGCACCTACAGAGTTTGATTGAGCTTCTTAGATATGCACATTTCTGCATCTTGATCCTTTCACTGCATTTTACCCAACCCCATCAATACAACATGAAGACAAGACCGTCTTTGTGGGCCCTCCCAAAGGTGTTGGCCATGGTGCGCGTCACCACCTAAAGTTATGCCACTGTTTTTAGCCTTTGGAGGGTATAGTTGTGTGTTTACACAATGTCGCCTTTTTCCTCTGTGGATTTGGCACTAGGAAGAAGAATTAATAGGAAATTTGTGACATTATTGGGTTACAGCTAACGAGAATTGCTCTCTTATCCTGCAAAAACAGAACAGCATGGGCCTCCCATTGGAGTTGTCTTTGTGTTTACGCCACCTTCTGTAAATCAAAAATTCATTGGTGTTCTAGCCTTGTTTTGGTCTTCCAGCTCCAAAGAAAGAATATCCACGTCTCTCTGGCTTTCTACATGTTAGACTCTTTTCGCCCAGCTCTCATTTGCTTCATGCCATTTCTAACTGGGCGAAGAACATACACTTGGCTTGTGCGAGCTTGTTATTTGGAAGTTGGTTGGGAGTTTCAGCCCAAGGCACCAAAGGATGATGAACTGGAACAGAGCAGGAAATACAAACAAAATGAAAAGTTCAATGTCCAGACTCTCAGTAGGATTGCAGTGCCAGCCACTTATACCACTCTGCTTTTACATTGAACTATTGGAAATATAATTCACTGTACGAAACTTCAGGTTTGCAACAGGATACACATGGACAGACTACAAATGAGAAATTAGGGTTAGGGTTGCATTATTATTAGTTTATTAGTTATGATGACTGGATACTTGGCAATAACTGATATTCTGATATTTCCAATCACATTTGGCTGATATTGATACCAATGCCAATCCAATTAAATCACACACTCACACATCATACTGGTTATCAAGAGCAATAATAGTGATAATTTCTTCAAACTGTTCTGCCAAGGTAGTTGAAGGTAGTTAATGGGGGTTGACCAACATCAGTTTTTCACTGTAGAGCAGGTCGGCCGAAGTCGGATTTGTAATGCCGATATCACATTGTTGTTTTTGTTTTGTATTTGATCACATTTAATGATAATTCGAACTAGCCCACAATAACAAACCCCTGGAGCTCTGCAGGTAGGATGCAGAGTAGGGAAATGGACACAGGGAGGAGCCATAATGATGAAGGTGTCTGCAGACGATGTTTCTTAATTTCTTAAATTGGCCTCCTGAGCGATGACGTCAGCTGATGTCGATCATTTTATCATCCCAACTGATTAATTGGTCTATCTCTGTGTGCACAAAATCTATTATGTCACCTTATCTGCCTTAAAAATCTGAAATTTTAGAATGCACAAATACCGTCAATTAACTTTTTAAGTCCTTATCTGCTGATATTATTGTTGTTGTTGTTTATCATGTTGTGCATACCCAATATTCGCTTTTTTTTTTTTCATTTATTGGGGCAGCTGAGCACTCTTCCTAATGCCCAGACTGTGATGGGTGATGTTGAACCGCTATACCTGGTCACCTTTTGTCAGCTGACAGGGATTAACGAGAGTCTACTCCATTTTGTCTTTGGCACATTTAATAACTTTATGCAGCTTTAAATCACAACATGATCTCATCGCTTGAAAGTTTCTTACATTAGAGAAAAGCAGCATTAAAAAAAGATCAGTTTGCTTCCACAAGAAATGCATGCAGTGGGAAAAGCCTCATCTTTATGACATTAGTTTGTGAATCTGAAAGTTGCTTCCAGTGCCGTTCTGTGAATGCAAAGGAGGCATTTAAGTGTGTGGAAAGAAAAGAACTCATACCTCTACGAAGAGTGGAAATAGTCCTGAAAGATCTAGAAAAGGACAGCTCTGTGCATTAGGAAATTGAAAAATAAAGTCCTTCAGCTGTGCAGCAAAGACTTGCCCATGCATACAAATGAATGGTTATGCTATTTATTGTACCACTGTGACTCTATTATGTTATACAGCAAAATAATCCCAGTCTCCCTATATGAGGTAATCGCTTTGTTGCTATTTTTTTGTTCAAAACAATTTCCCATTCAAAGATAAAACTTATATTTTTCACACATCAGGTCAGACTAATCCCAAATAGCTAAAGAAAGTGAAAATGCACAACAACAAAAGCCCAGGTCTCAGGAGGTTATCAAGCTTCAGTTAGAGAATTGTAAAAATAAAAATAAATAAAAATCATCCTGTTTGTGAGAGGAATGCAGATAGCGAAAGTTAAACAGAGCTATAAAGCCATTTCAAGAACAAAACAGGACCACAGGTATATAAAAGAGATAAGACTGAGTGGTTACTTGCCAAACATTTATACCTTGTAAACAAAAGTAATAATCACCTTTTGGTTTTCCGCAGGTTTCAGGTACAGGAAGCTCAGTGAAACATCTGCAGTAATAAAAAGCTGGCTGTAGGTTATGCATATTTGAAAAGGAAGCTGGCACATGAATCACACAGGAAAAGTCAAAACAACTTCCCTTTTGCCACAAATCCCGTTATCTTTACGGTTTTATTTCACTCCGAGGATTGGAGGCAGGAACATCTGGGCAGCAATAATTTAGCACGTTTTCACTGAAGGACTTTTCCTCACATGTCTTTACTTTTTCCAACATGAGCTCCAGCCACATACATCTAAAGGCTCTGTCTTTATTAATGAAGCCCTCAGGCAGATGTATCCTCCCACATAGAACTTAAGTGACGCACGCCTCACCTGTATTAAGGTACATTGTGCATTAAGTTGATGCATGGGCTGAGTGACACCTTTAACATCCATCCTGTACTCGTTGACTCTCAGACCATAAATGGAATACATTAATGTAACATGATTATGCGGTGCACCTATAGAAGACAGAGAAGTGCTGCTATATCTGCCACCTCAGGAGTCCCTGCTGCCATCACTTTCAGTCACAGCACTTTATTACCACATTAGTGATTTCATACATATGCTAAGCCCCCCCTGTAGCTTTGCCTGTGCTTCCCTCGGAGAGGTGCAGACGCCATAGGGAGTCAAGTGAACAATTAGATGCATTTTAAAGTCTCCCCTGAAAAAGCTGAAGTCGTGCTGTAGGATTCCTGCATGTACAATGAGAAGAGCTGAAGTAAAACTACCGCAGAGCAGTTTTTTAATGTTAAAAGAAGCAAGCAAGAAGTGGATGTTGACCTGCTCGCTAGCTATCTCCAAGGGTCCTTCAATGTGGACTGAAATTGTTTGTACTTTTTTTCATGAGGGTGGGACATAAAAACGTGAGATCTTATTAGAGGCTAACATGAGAGATTTTATTCACTAGAGTTTGATAAAGTGCGACACTGAATGCTAAATTAAAAAACCCAGTTGTATAGTTACCCAAAGAGAGCAGCAGGGATAACAAAGAGAGTTCAAAAGCAATGTATGCTAAATTGCAAAAAGGGTCTTTTGCATTGGACAGTAACTAGCAGCACTTGTTATTAATTAAGGGAACAGAGATTCAAATTGAGTTGTTCAGTTAAATCACTTAGTGGAGCTTAAAGACGTATTCCGGCATAAAATTAATTTAGGGTCAAACACACCGTTAACACCGAGTTAGACACCCTGTCGAGAGATGAATGTTCCTGATCGCTTGCTTCTCTAGCTATACCAACTTTTGTTTTAACTCACCTCCTCTCCTCCAGCAGCCGCTTGTTTATAGTGAGATCTCAGGCCAGTCCATTATGGTCTACAGTGGGGTGTCGCAGCTCAAGGAAGAACATTTATGATCATTACTTTTTCATTTCCTTGAAGTAATAATCACCATATTAATCATTTTGCGCTGTAGACGCAGTAGTTCTGCCTTAGCATCTCAGTCTGATTGCATTTCCACGATGAAATGATCATAAATGTTCTTCCATGAGTTGCGTCCCCGCCTCAGTCCATAATGGACTGGTCAAGGTCTCGCTACAAACAAGCGGCTGCTGGAAGAGAGTAGGTGAGTTGTGTTTAGTCTCTTTGCTAAAGAAATCAGGCAAAGTTAAAAAGATGTTTGGTGGCTATTGCTTTTGCTAGGACCCTGTATGTACTGTTGATGAAGTTAGGTGCTGTTCTGAGCATTATTTGTGGCTATAGAGTGGCGTTTTGGTTGAGGTTTGTTTATGGCTCCTGAGATCGCTGTCTATTGCTATCATGCGGTCGTTACTAAAGTTGGCATAACTAGAGAAGCAAGCGGTCAGCAACATTTATCTCTCGAGGGGGTGTCTAACTCGGTGTTATGGTGTGTTTGACCCCTAATTAATTTTACGCCGGAATATCCCTTTAAACCCTAGCTTGACTTCACTGTGCATGTGAATATACTGACTGCAGCTCATATGGGGTCTTACTGAAAAATGGGCCAAAGAAGGAAAGTAGCACACCTGCAGAGGCTGGACCATGTGATTTGAACAGAAGAGCCACTGAAGCTTGAATGAAAGAGGAAAACTGTAAAGACAGAGAGAAGAAGCTTCTTTTCATGGCTTTGCAGATGCAAACACAGTTGCTCTATAGGCCTATTTGTTTGCTCCTGTCGATAAATCCATGCGCTTTGATGCGCTTTCTTTCTGTACAGTACTGCAGAGGACCATTCACAGCGCATGGGAATGATCATCAAACAGGAACGGGCCCATCTTCTTTCTACTGTGTTTACATCCACACATCCTAATGGCTCTTCCCAAGCTGTCAGGCGGCCTGTTGATCAATAGCTGCACTCAAGTGTCCTCAGTGGAGAACACAGAGAAGGACGCAGAAATACATCAACACATAATACCCGGTATTTATTTATACTCCCAGTGTGTGTGCCCTTTTCTTTATTCCCACTGTAAACAGTGTTGTTGATGGCACCAGTGATAAAATGAGATGTCAGCTCTTATTGTCTGCCTTTACTCATCACCCCGGCTATTTTAGCTTCTTGCTGTGCGACCACAGCAGAGCAGACGATGAGGGCCACTTGAGAGTTGTGCTTCTTCTCTGCGGCCTGATAAATCCCGGACAGAACGGTGTGTCACAAAGGCTGCAGAGGTGGCGTCAGAGAGAGTGAGAACGGGAAATGGAAATTGAGCACATGCACTTCAAAAGGGGAAGGCTGGGATTCAATCAAGGCTGCGCTGACTGATCAATGGGAAACAAATGAGAGCATGGTCTAAGACTAGTATGATGTAAGGACGGTCAGAGGATTTCCTCACAGTCTTGAATTAAGTATGAGGAAGAAGGACACGATAGCTGTGTGAAAATCTTTTGTCCAAAAACAACTAATTGCAGCAGGAAAGTGATGTCTAACTGATCCGTATTTTACTTCTAATGCAGCCTGTGCAGAATGTAAAACTCTCTCCTCAGCTTTTATCCTTACCAAAATAACTTCTTAGCTCAGAGCAGAAGCTACTCAGATAATTTACCCCCTGCCACTCTGTATTTCTGTTTTTTCCCTGACCTTGATTTCAAGGTAAGCTCTAAAAAAAACACAGCTTACGCCTGCTAATGCACTGCGGTTTGACCTCGCTCTTGTAGGACCGCACAGATTCTAACTGGTAATGGTTATTGTTCGGGAGTCGTGACCCTCGATTTAGCTGGGCTGGTTTCACCCAGGCATGAGAGTGAAGTTGACAAACAGCCACGCCTGTAAGCGGTTTTCCAATCTGACCTTTGACCTGGCTGTATAAATTGGACTTAATGTACAGCTACGACTCAGTGTTTTCTATTTTTATCCATTCGCACACAAACAAACAGCACACACTTATATGTCTATTGCCCATAAAATGCAAATCCTTGTTTCAGGCCACATTCACATTAAAGTCCTTTTGATGGTAACAAATTAAATATCAGCAATTTCTGCATTTAAAAAAAAAAGAAGAAGATAGAAAACCCAAGTTTAAGTAGGAAAAGAGCAAAACATGAGAAATTTAAGCACTTGCTGCAGCCATGGAAGCAATTTCTGATCGCTTCAGGAAAAATTCAGTTGGCTTTCAAATATAACATTGAAACTAAAATGACTAAAATGTGACTGCGTTCTGAAACTAAACCAGGACTTTCAATAAAAAATGGCTAAAACCTAGCTTAAACTAAAAGGCTTTTTCATCTAATTACAAGAAGTAAATCCAGAATAGCTCCCAAAATTAACACTGATGGTCTGACAAGCATCAACATTCTGGTTTATTGGTGGTCAGTCCCACCATTTCTAATTAATTAAAATCTGTAGAGCTTTTGAATTGTGACTTTTTCAAATTACTATATATCCTCAAAGTGGCTCATGCCAGTCTCCGGTGGGTTAAAGTTCCTTTATATACATTATATATATTCAGTATTTCTTTCCCTGGCAGCCCCACTGTGGGCCTGACAGTTATGGTTATGAATGAAATGTTTTGCCAACGACTTAATGCCCTGTCATAAATTTTGGCTCTTAAGCTCACCTTCAACAGTCTGTAATTACTTTGGCGATCCTCCGGCTTTCCATTCACCTAAAGCAAAAAAAAAAAAGTCAGATACTGTGATTTATAACTATAAATGCCTGAAATATTAATATTACCTGTGGCCTAAGGCAACCCTTTGAGTCGGGTCACTCATAGCTCATAAACACTCTACACTAAGGTGGTGAAGATAATAAGACAAAGCCCCAATTAACTGAATATCTGTGTTTATGAAAGAAAACAAGGGGAATATGCTCAGTTATGGCAAACATAATCTCTTTTTGACTTTCTTTGACTTGATTCTAATTCGCATAGACTGTATCTAGAATCTGTCTGCCTCCTCGCTGGGTGAAGCCACCCCGAGAGGGCTGCTGTATAGGTCAGAACACATTGAACAAACTTTGGAAATAATTACACAGAACATAATTTTTTCTCCACACTGCTTGTGATTGTTGACATGTAGTCATTGTAAGACTGGTTTGTGCTCAAGTCCTCTTTTTTCTGTGCAGCTCGGTTTTTAAAAGTTATTAGGCTGTATCAGGTGTCAATCATAGAAAACATGAACCCCCTATGGGCGTATGAAGATTGCGTAGCTCACACGGGGGATACGCTGTTTGAGCCGAGCGTCATCACAGCAACTCTCAGCGACTCTCCCGCCGAATGCGTACAACGCTACTGCGCAATGTTGGTTTCAGGAAGTGGAGAAAAATCGCTGAATTACTGAGAGCTTTTTGGCTTCAAATCTGTATATTGGCAGGAGGCGGAACCAAGTTGTCTGTAGTATATACATGGTAATGGTCTATGGTAATTACTTATAGTTTCCAAGTTATGAAAACTATGCGCTGCATCATTTTGGTGACACCATTTTTGCTCTAATGGACGTACTTTGATTGTACATGTTTGTTAACTTTTTTTAAATTGCATATGAATCTATACAAAATCTCAAACTAATCTGCTTATATCTAACAATGTTTGACCTTTTGGAAGGTTTCACCAACATTTCAGGGCCTCTTGAGTGGCCAACAGTTGGCGATAATGGACTTTGGTGCGTGACTTCATTACACTACACTTGTATTTGTTTACAATCCATCTAGGAACTTACAAAATGAGAATGGAGTTAGTTTGACAGACCGTGTCCAAGATTGGTTTTGTAGCTGCAGTTGTTTACAGATATCCATTTGGACATAAAGTCATAACCTTAGTATGACTCAGAACAGATTAAAAACTGTGTTTTGCCTCCTCTTCCGATAATAGACTAATAATCTTTTTACAACCTTATTTGCTTCAGTGGTTTTGTTGTTAATACTGCACTGGGACCAAACCCAGAACACTGCCCATACAGAAACTCAATTCTGCGATTGCAGATTCAGAACAAATATGTATTTTATATAAATAACAAACAGATTTAGTTCAATTTAAAAGAGATTTAACGCATCAAACAAAGATTGTGTTTCTTCCAGCTGAAAATGGTAAAACACATGATAATTTAAAGCAATGTAGTGTGTGGCTCCTGAAACCTGAAAGGAAAAGTTCAATTGCTTCTCTATTATTTTAAAAGCACTTTTTGCTACATTGCTTGCATGAATTAAACTATTGAGAACAGGAAATGTATAAAGAGACGCATGTATATTTACTGTATCTACGCTTCATGTCCATTTTATATGTTTGTACAGCCTCTGTCTCTCCGAGGTTGATGGGAGGATTATTAAGGCCACTACTCTGTCATACAGCAGCCCATAATAAAGTCTTCAGAAGTCCCTTTTAGACTTTGTTTATGCATTATTTAAGTCAGCGTGTAATACAGTGACCTACTATAGAACTGGCTATTTTTAACACCAATTACTACCTCCCAGGAGATGAAGAGAGAATAAAAGACAAGCGGGAAAGAAAGAGAGAGAGAGAGATTTGATTCAAAGTAGAGAGTGTTACACTGAAGTACTGAACCATCCACAAACCCCCTCCCCCCAGACCTATCTTCCCTTTCTGATCATCAGCAGATGATATCCCAGCTGTATTACAGAGTAGGAGGTGGCATCTCCTCTTCGTTTCTCCTCCTTCGTGGTTCAATTAGAGAGGTGTGTCGGGCGCTTCTTCACATGACCACACACACATTCACGGACATGCCAAACAGATAACTGAGCAATTTATGTCCGGATATAGCTGCTGCTCTGGTCACAGGCTCCCAGCCAAGCACATAAAGGGCTTCACACACCTCGAGTCTTAAATTAGCAACAAGTATGCCCAAGTGGTCATCATTACTTCATCCTAATGCGGTCAGGAAGGTGACTCTTGAAGGATGGAACTGCAATAGCCTACTCTCTACATTGAAATACATATCAAACATATATATTTCAATCATTGTAAGTTATAAGTCATCAGCACAATCGAGATGATTAAAATGTTGTTGAAGATCGGTCCCTGAAAGTAAATAACTGGTGGTCCAAAGTGAAATCTTGAAGCCAAAAGTCCCCGATTCCTGGAGACAGTCCCTGCATTGGATGACCTGTCCTTGGCTAAAGCTGTCCCTGGAAATGTCTCTGACTTAAGCGTTTCATGAATGAGAACAAAAATGTTGCGTGTAGACTAGAACGGTTGTTACAGTAGCCAAATAGGTAGGAAGCATGAGTAAGCATGTTGTGCGCAGTCCTGAACAACAGTTTTTACGGGGGGTTGTTACAGAGGGTGTGCGGTGCTTCTAAGTAGTACCAATGTTGTCTGTGATCACGCAGCCCACCCCATCCCCCCGCTCTGGATTTCCCCAGATTTCACTACAGAAATCTGGTCACCTTAGTACACTTTGCAATTATGCTAATGCCAAGTATGGACACTTTAATACGATGGGCATGGTTTTACTGAAGTGAGATATTTATAAATTTCTAGATAGATTGGACCTTACAAACGAATGCTGTGTTTACTTTCAAACTGACAGCAGACTTTTGGTACTAGCCATTCAGTGACTTGTTAAAAGGAGCTCTTACCTTATCCTTGACTGATTTTGACTTTCTGTAGAATTATGATTATCTGCTGCAGCTGTTTTGGGTTTAATCCCATTGGCTGTCGTTAGATTTGGGCTTTTGGCTTGCAAACCCACATATGTATATAACATAAGCTAAAAACACACAGCTGTCATTAAACATAGGATGACCTTATGTCCTCTTTTACCCGGACATGTCCTCTTTTGGGGGGGCTGTCCAGGCTTGTCCGCCTCTGTCCGGAGAAGTTTGTCAAATTCTTCAAATGTCTGCGGTTTTGTACAGAAGTTTTGAGTTTGTGTGATGTTGACTTACTGAGTCAGAAGCATGTAAAAAGACACTCAATCCTACTTGAAAAACTCTCAAAATTAACTTTGTGCGACTCCGTGACTCCAGCCCTGCACAGTCGTGTCTTCTTTTTAGGAAGTCAGGATATGGTCACCCTATTAAACGGTACTTTTATAGCTTTAAGAACAGATAGAATGAAGTGCACGAATATGTTGCTAGGATGTCAAATAGGCCTGTTGCAGTATCAGATTTTTACCCCACATTTAACATGCCATAAAATATCATGATATTAATACAAACTTGAAAATAAAAAGACACAAATTGAGAAAAAGGGGATACAAAGATGGAGAAAAATATTACTTCATAAACTTCATTTCGTAATCCTGTATTATACTTCCAGTAGGTCATAAGTGACAGAATTTATATAGTTTGACAACACGACCAGAAGTGTAAAAGTGCTGAATCATCTCTCAGAGGGCTGCTTCAGTTTGTTAGCTGACAGTCTGCTACTCCTCTTCACCTATCCTCCATTGTATTAACTGTGGCACTACTATAAACGTATGGTACTTTCATATGCCTGTTTTTAGCATGATATCAATAATCTATTTCTAAAAGATGATGGTCTCACCAAAATCTTAATTAACTACTCCTGTTCAAACCTTGAAAAACGGTCTAAATAAACCTGCATTTTAGTTACATCTTCTAATAGTTTGTTTTTGTTAGTTTCTCTCAGGTATGAGATGAAACTTCCCTTCATCTTTCTTCTTCTTCTTCTCTCTTCAAAGACACTGCGACGACCAGCGACTGTGAAACAATCGTGTAGGCACAGGATGATAAGGATTAGGAGATGATTAGGACTCCGAGTGGGGGAAGTCAGGGCTCTTATCAGTCAAATTAGTGCGTTAATGGCTTCAAGGTCAGCTGCTGGAGCTTTTAAAAGACGACTCATGCTTTTAACACCCTCACAAGCCCTCTGTCTATGTAAGAGGAGCTTTAAGGAGTCACATTATCTGCTGAAACTGTCTTGTCATCCATGTGGTTGAAGATCTTCGTGGTTTTAAGAGACAATCTTTTTAATAAAGCGAAAAGGCTTCAATCTATTTATGTCCACATAATCTCATCTTTTGTTTTTGCCTTTTATATTCACGCCGAGGCTTCTTCTTGTAATACTTCTTGCTTGAGTTTGATCGATTGTGATAACCTTGCCAGCTGATTTTATTGAGCTTATGTTTGGGAAAAAGAGGCTCACTTCATAATAAAAATCCAAGTACTTGCCATATTTTTTTTCCTGGCATGTCCACCCTTTTCCAGCTTCCATGTGCTTTATGCAGATGGTTCCTGTTGGACAGGCCACTAAAGGAAATCACAACAATAGAAGGGGGGGTTGGACTGAATAGTAAAACTCGTGCTTTCCCAGACTAGTACTGGGTTAGCATTTACCGGCATGCTGTCCTCATGTGCGCACACTCTCTTCTCATTACCGCTCCCTCTTATCAGTGCAGGTCAACTATCAGTATGTTTACATGTTGTTCAAAAATCCATATATTGAGTTAAACTAACTGAAACTGGACTTTAAACATACGTGCAAACACATTAATCAGATTGAAATCTCATTAAATCTAATTTCTCCTGTTGGGCGTAACATTGGAGATCGATTGTTTCTTACATGTTTGCGCCTCCATCAAAGTCAAACTGGCCCAAGTGTTTTTCACAAGCGCTTTCGTTTGCACAATCAGCCTCAACCTGAAAGTTTAATAGCATGTAGTAATAGGCGAGTTAGAGACAGGCTAATGGGTCATTCCATGTCAATTCAACCAAGAATCTCCACTCAGGTCACAGATTTTGATTAAATTTGGTGGAGTCATTGGCCTTCAGGAGAAACTGTCAGAGCTCAAATATTTTTGTTCAAAACCATCTAATTAGTGAGATAGGGGCTAATGAATTTTTGGCTAACTAGCATGACATGCGTTACAAAAGTGTTCATATCTCTGGAAGTATGGCACCTAGAGAGCTGATTCAGGTGTCATTTTAAAGCTCTTCTCCCATGAAGCTTAGATCATTCATATTCTGGATATAGGTGCAAATAGAAATGAAATGCAATGAAAAACTGAGCAAAAATAATCTATTCTAGCCATTTTTCATATAAATATGGGATAATATACCTATGAAAAAACTCAAAAAAAGCATTTTGCACTATGAGGAAGTAATATTTTACACAAGCAGGCAAGTTGGGCTGACTCCAGGTGAGGTCAGGACTGTATAATGTGCCAAATTTGGCGATTTTTGACCTAATGTATCACACATTTTGACTGATTACTCAAAAAGTTATGGAATGCCCATCCTGAAACTTGCAGGGATGCTAGTGGACATGATAGTCTTTCTTAAGTGTGAATATAAAGAAAATTGAAGGACGTGTGTTTTTTGCTATTTCCAATTTAAGTTTTTGGTGTTTTATAATTTTTTTCTGGTCCAATTTGGGAACAAAAAGATAGAACTTGAAGAGAGCTTTAAAATGACACCCGAATCAGCCCTCTTGGTGCCATACTTCCAGAGATATGAACACTTTTGTAACGCATGTCATGCTAGTTAGCCAAAAATTCATTAGCCCCTATCTCACTAATTAGAAGGCTTTGAACAAAAATATTTGAGTTCTGACAGTTTCTCCTGAAGGCCAATCACTCCACCAAATTTCATCAAAATCTGTGACGTGAGTGGAGATTCTTGGTTGAATTGACATGGAATGACCCTAATGTATCTTAAAGGACTGGTGTCAAATCATACTCCCCCTGGTGTTCAGCTTCTGAAATTTTCAGCAACACAGTGAGAGTTCCTGACTCCTATTTTCTGTCTGCCTCAGCCTCTTACTTTTCTCTCTCCACAACTAATCAAGTCCCCGGTATGACCAACCGTGGTGAAGCATAGACTTGTCAGCAGTTGTCTCATGAGGACAGAGCGCTCGAATCTCACGTTCTCGCTCCGATCTGCAGCGCAATATTCTATCGACGTGGAGATGCATGTTTTACACAAACACCTAAACTCTTCCATGTGCTGCATATGTTTGTTTCTCACACATACATACATACATTCTTAGTGTTCAGAGTTTCAATTACAGCTGGTACCTGCTTGCCTGTCCCACATAGAGGATGAAATGCCAGGCGGTATGACAGGTGCGGGTGGATATTATGCTTGTGGAGCAACCTCGGCCTGCTGCAGAGAAAGCCAGAGAGGGAGGGAGGGAAATATTAACAGCTGAATAAAATGATGGTGACAGCAGAAAATGGCAGCGGCGCTCCAACATGGTGCTTATGGATTTATTTGCCATGTGTGACTCGAAGTGGGGAGATAGAGAGATATGTCACCGGGAGTCTCTGGATGACATTTTGTCATCACTCTCTCTGGTTAGGTCTCAGTCATATGAGACCTACTTTATGTAATGACATAATGATCCCTATTTTATGCATCATGGATGAACCCTGCTGTGGCACTTTATGCAGCCTGCACAACGACTGGAGGTAAAAATTTACATGAGCCTCCAGTAGATTCAATTTCCTTGTTTTTCTTAAACAATTCGTCTTACTTTCCTCTCTCTCAGTTTGAACTCTTTTTTTTAATCAGTTCCAATCTGGAAATCTGGGATGCAGTTTGGTAAACAAAAGCCAACTTTAAATGAACTACCAAACGAGTTTACTCAGAACTGAAAACAAAACTCCTTCATTGCTTCACCAAATTGCGAGCAGAATGAGGTCATTAATGGAAATTCACCACAGCCACCGTGCCCCAGCACTTTTTCTGCATGGATTTCAGGCTTTAAGGATCCAAATTAAACACACTTTTCTTCAATCAGATATATGGCATGTGAAATACAGATATATTTAAGTCCATGTCAAGTCAAGGGGGAATCTATTGGTCACAGGAATGAAAGTCAGGAAACTTTTAATAAAGCAGCAAAAAGTTTCTTTTTACACAGTTTTGTTGAAATGTTGTGCTTTAGCTCTCCATTCAGCCATGTTAGCATACATTAGATACTGTTGTCCTATATTATGCTGTAATGTTACTAACAGGTTATACTTACAAGTCAGCGTAAAAAATCTTAATCGGTATCGGTAAAGACTTTTCAGAGTTGTCTGTTTTGATACATCACTACAGGTGACAAAGGTAAAAAGTTATAACATCAGCAACATTAAGGGCCTATGTCCACTAATGGCATTCATCAATCTCCTTTACAGAACCAGTGCAATTTAGCATTTTCAGTGTGAAGGTACGTGAAGATACATGGCGAGTCTATTTTTGCTGCTCTACGCTTCCAATGCATGTCAATCCACAGAGAGAGGATCGTGACAGGAAATCAAACACAAAAAACGGGCATGTCATTCAGTATTTCAAAATAAAACACCATATGTGGACTCCCGACTGTGTATCAGTTTATGTAGAGGAGAAATACTTCCTGGTTATGGATTTATCAGTAATACAGAACAATCCGACCGGGGTTGCACTACGCTGCTGCCATGCTCCAAATATGCATTTTGTATACGATACTAAATGCTGCTATACATAACAAATACGGAACACACTCAAGACAGATCCTGTATGTTTTCAGCTTTCATGTTGGACTTACAGTGCACTCAGATGAAAAATAGTTGAACCCATGGAACACTGCCTCTCAGTCCAGCATCACTTTCCTCCACTGACCAATCAGAATCAAGAAGAAGCAGGAAGTCTGACACCAACTTAGTTAACAAGTAGAGTTGATGCCTCCTCTGTTACAGAGAAATTTCCCCAGTTGCTAAAGCAAAAGGCAGACTTTTTTTTCAGTTGTGTGTATATTAAACTCCTAAAATTCAATTTTATCAAAGAAAAATAAAACATACTGATGATTTTAAAGTGGACTGTGACCCAACGGCTGAAATACCAATGAAAAGCACTTTGACATTTGAAATTGAATTGTATTTACTTTCACTGCAGAAAACTCTGTTAGCGGACACCGGCCTTTGGTTTAATAGTGAACATTTCTGCTACTTCTTGCAGACTAGATCTAATTTTAGAAATAATTAAACAATTTAAAAGGAACACAAATGCAGGATTGCTTACTCCACTTTGTGCATTTTGTCAAAATGTACCACACGGTAACATTGTGTGATTGTAGAAGCTTCTACTTTGTCTTTTTTGGCGTGTTTCTTGCTAAAACGCTCAATTTTTAAACTTTCTTTTAGTTGAGTTATGTCGGTGAAGAAGTGCAACACAGCTTGAAATGTGCCTCTTGCATTGGCCTGCAAGGTTGGCGCTGAATTACATCAGCGCTGTGCAAACAGTGAATTACCGATCATTGCATCTCATGTCATTTTTATTCAACTTGTCTTGCTTGTGAAAGGTCGGTGTCAACACAAGCCCTGCAAAAATAATAAATAAATAAATAAAGTAATACCTTGTGGTTGCCATATCCTCTGCCTTCCCCTCTATGACCAGGAAATCTTATCACAGGAACCACTGCATAACTGAAAAAAAATCAACTCTTCTAAATTCAGAGAGTTCAAGACAGGTTGCCCATTGATTTTTTTTAGTGGTGCTGCATCTCATGTGCTCCTGTGATGGTTTAGAAAAAAACCTACAAAGACATGAATCTCTGCGTCACCTCTAGCTCTCCTTGATAGTACGAGTACTCGACACAGTTTCTGCAACAGACGCTATCAGATAACAGAATTAGATGCTGAGATCCTTTCCCATCAATTATCTGGGTGCTCTTCCATGTTAGACTCCTGCTGCTTCTCAGTCATCCTTTCTCCCCAACATCCTTGAGGGAGGATAAGTTGAAATGCCGTATCGATTTCTACCATTTCTCACATTGTTGCCTTCAGTGGTTGGCTGGTTTTGGTAGTGTTACTTTAATTCTCTTTTTCAGTCTCTCACTTCACTGTAGCATGTCAGATAAAACAGGCAGAGTCTACAAAAGATCCACGACTATGCTAACAGTCAAAAAAAGCATCTCAGGTCTGGTTGGTGAACAATGTTGAAGAGCGTGAATAACTTTAAAACAAAATTCGGAGACATCAAAGACCTCCAGAAATGCATCTCCGAAACCCAAAGGGAATATTACACTCCTCTTTTATTTTCTCCTCCTTTGTTCGTTTAAATCTTCCACTTTTCATCTTCAGTCTCCTGGACAATGAGGAGGTATCTGGTGATTTCAATGTCAGAGGGAGAAGCTTTTTTTCTTTCTTTCATGTATGCAGATGAAACATGTAAAATCCCACAGGTTGCCGTCTAAATCAGTGATTCCCAACCATACCCGTTTGTACTACAGGGTGTAAAACTGTAGTTGGAGAATAAGTGGGCTGATTGTGGAGAAGGTAGTAGAAGAAATTAGGATTTGATTGAAAATACATGCATGAATTTGACTTTAGATGACACCTAGCATGGGCTAACAATTAGTTACAATGTAACAGATAAGTAACTACTAAAGAAGTAGTAAAGCAGGGTTGCCAGGTGTACAATAATTACCGTATTTGTGCGATAATTTTGCCCTCTGTACGATCAATAACCAAGAAAAAAGGCCAAATGTACGATAATTTGACAGTTTCGTGAACGTATGGTGCAATAGGACTGTTTCAGTCTGCCAGACTCTTCATTTTTCTGTTTTTTATTTGCGAACCCTGAAGGCATCTTTCACCACGTGACGTTTCCATCCAGTAGTAGTTTGAGCGACGTTTGTCTACGAACAACAAGCATGATTGGCTGTCAATCATGCTCATTCGGTTAGTCAGTTGAAAAGGACGGTGATTACCGGGAGCCAAATCCTCGTGTGAGGACAAGTTGATTTTTGTGTCTAAAATAGATTTCACTGAGTTAAGTCAGATTACTCTGTTTTTCCTGGTCAGTTATTATGAATATTGTTTCACAAAAGTAGGTGGCCTCAAGGTCTCATAGTTTGGCTCATTTTAAGGGGACACATTTGTGTAGCACAGCTGAGTTGGAGTAGCTGATCATACGCTGCTGATGTGGGGCGGGGTGGTGAATGGCCACAAAACTGTAGCCACAAAATCGTGAGTGACTGTAGGACACTAAATAGAGTGACTATATGTGACTATTATGCAACAGTAATGTTGTTATTTTGATTTTGATGAGTGTAAAATATTTTTTTCCCAAATACGATAAGTTTGAGTCTCTGATACGATAATTCTATATTTCCCATCTGGTAACACTGTAGAAAGTAACAGACACAATGTTAATGATAAACTTAAATTTACATAGTTATCAGATTATCAGATTTAACGATTGTCCGTGTCGCAGTTTACAAGCACTGGGCAGAAATCAATTTATTGACAGAAGTGTGTTCACCTCTGTTACAGTAGACGACGACACGCCCCCTTTCAGCTTGGGTCGTCTTCATACTGACACATTCGGTTTCAAATCAGTCAAATTGTCACTTGAACATCTCTGTATGATTTGATGCCTTGCTCAAGCCACTTCAAAAGTGCTCAGGAGGTGACCTAGCTACCCGGTCAAACTCTTGAACCAGCAACCCTCCAATCCCCAACCCTTCCAGACTGAGCTACTGCCGCCCCTTTCTTTGCTTGTTGAGTTTTTGTTTACAACTGGCTTCCTAGCAACGCATCCAATCTATTCAGCTTCCCAACAAGCCTGGCATGCAAACACTACGGCATGCGCAGGACACCAGTTTCAGTTCGATTGAGCCAGAGCAAATCGACACCCAACCGCATTATCCAAGGAATGCTGGACTATGAAAGGCGATTTCAGTCAGAAGTCAAGTTTCAGTCAGACAATACATCCATTTTTTGAACAACATTTAAACGTAGTGTGTAATATATTGACTGCTAATAGAAAGAAGGGTGAGATTTTAATCTTACCAGAAAATACAACTACACACACGTAGGACAAAATCTGTGGAAGTGTAGCGCTTCATTGACACAGAAGTTTGAACAATTGCCCGAATAAATTTTCACTGAAGTACATGTTCAGGAACATTTGAGTTAATAGCTCCTGAAGGGTTACCTAAGCATATCTGAAAGAAATGTTGAGGAATGTGTTTTTCAAACTGCTGCTTCATATACTTTCAATTATTCTGAAGGTAACAGGGGTAGAACAGAACAGAACAGAACAGAACAGAACGTCTTATTATACTTTGTTCCTGTGTGATTCCCAATGTCCTGTGTTCAAATATAATAAAAGAAGACCTTACTCATTTCGCTGGTCCCCCATTGAAACCCTTCAAGGACCCTCAGGGATCCTCAGACCTCACATATCATTAAACTACAAATACTGGGAAAGAAATAGGGTTGCAGCAGGAGGGTCTGCCGCTCTGCAGTGGCTCTTCCTCTCTTTTTTGTCTCCACTGATTCCTCCCTGCAGGTGCACAAATGAAGAACAGACTCACTACATTGCTCACCGGCTTTGTTTTAAGTGCAGAACTTGAAAGGCCGCAGACTCCCACCCTGTTAATTAGGCAATTGAGAGATCTGAGGCACAGGGGTAATTTGGGTTAAAACAGCAACGTGTGTCAAGCATTTATCCAAATGGCATTTGCCATCCACAACAAAGGTAGGGGGCAGCTGTGATGTGAATGCAGGCTCCTTTAATATTTCCTCTGCTTACACATGCACAGGTTTTTATTGCTCAGTGATGAGCGGATTGGCTGATACGCTGGGACACGTACACTTCTTTCTACTCATTGCACCCAAGTAATGAATTATACCTGAATTAAGAGCACCATTAGATGAGGTGATTTACTTTCTCTCGATCCTTTGAGATTTTTTTTTCCCCGTTTACTGTACCCATATTTGGTTTGCACAGGGGGTAAAAAAAGCAAAAGAAAAGGGAAAAAAAGATTGATTTTAATGGATTTTGCTGGAGGAAACATGAAGCAAGTTCATTAAATAACAATGAGAGAGCATCACAATGTAACTTCAAATGACGCCTCTATGAGTAGGCTGTTTTTTTTTTTTACTCCGTGGCAGGAGCACAGCAGCCGTTTAATAACTTGTCTGTTATTCATGAAAGAAGCAGGCGTAACCTTGAAGAAACCTTGTTTTCACAGAAACTCATTTAAAGCTCAAAACAAAGGAGGAGAAAACTCATATCCCCCTTAACTGCGGTATATCTTCACTTGCTTGGTGGCACCTCTGTGGAGGATATGTTATGTTCTTAAACTTCATTCCAGCTGGGTTCGTATTGTGATAAATCGAAGAGGTCTAAGAGTCCGCTTAGAAAACAATGGAGGTGGAAACACAAAAAACTCTTTCTTCTCCTTTTCTTCTCTGGTTTATTGCCTCTTTCTGTCCTGAACACAACAGCCTTAATCATCAGTGAGCATTTGAAGCAGAAGTTAGTCCAGCTTTCATTTGGAAAAGGGAAGTAAAAATACAAATTTAGAAGTTTTGCCTGTTTAAAGAGCAGTCTCTCCTGGCTAATTAGATCGCCTTATCAAGTTGTTACCCTTGTGCTTCTCCAAATCAGCAATTATTCCATTTGCTTAGCGGAGAATATATTCATCACTTCCCCATTATGCTTTGTTTCCTCGTAAGAATCAACTCTACTGCTCAGACGTCACAGAGTGGAGATCATGTCAACAGAGTACTGAAGGGATTAACAGCACTGTACTTTGATAAACTTGATGGGTTTAAAAGTTTAAAAAGGTCAAGAGAAGGGCGTTCAGCGAGGCCAGATGTTCTCCTAAGCCAATGCTCCAATCTTCTAGTATCACAATCAATATGTCAGGATATTTTTGTCAGATCCATGCTTGCCTGTGAGGCCAGCTCAGATCTGGTGGAAGATGTGATGGATTTTCTTGGCTCTGAAACACTTATGCCAGTGTTTTTTTATATATATAATAACTGAAACACAAACAGCTCCAAGAAAATAAAATCTCATGGCGAACTGACCTCAATCCTAAAAGAGCATGACTGTGCTGTCTCCATAAAGCAACCTACTATCCCAAGTTATATAATACCATTATCTTCAAAGTAAATGGCACCAAAATGTAAATAAACTCTTTTCTTTGCAGGCTCTAGAGCGATGATAACATGATCATGGTTATATCATCAGGGTTGAAGCTAAAAGCTAAACCCAGATCCATTTAGATTGTGTTTGTATTCATGGTTAGACAGAGCTACATTGACTGTCTCCACACACCAAGCGTGAGTAAAATCATTTGTGCGAATTTATTATATGTTAAGTCAACGCAAAGACGCAATTAGACGCTCCCACTAGTCTGGCGGCTCAGATGATGCAAATTGGGCAGAAGGTGAATATGTTTCAACTCGAGCTGATGTTCGCGTCGTGAATTAAATGATACAAATTATATGATACCGACCTCTCCTGGTGGAAAGTGAGTGAGGAGGTCGGATTACCTGGTAAATTGTAAAAAACCTTTGTCTATCACTTGATCCCGCCAGTTCAATTAGCAGGGATCACCGTTGGCGCGCGAATGAAGCAGGTAAATACAATTCATTCAAGCGTCTAGATTCGCGAGTAGACGATTTTACTTGTGCTTGGTGTGAGCACCCTGTTACAACTTTATTATACAGTTTATCTGGGCAACAGCTTTGTCTGAGTTTACAAGCTCCTGGTGAAAATGGTTTTATTAATTCATGCATTCATTTATTGAGTCCCTTTCTGCTACAGTGGCTGGTGACATGCCCCCTGTAATTGTTGCCATTAGACTTTCTCTTGGTTGACTGTTTTGCAAGTCCTAAGCAAAAGTCCACTTCCAGTTGAACTATCACAAAAAGATGTTTTTTGAACAACATGAAAGCATAAAGTCTAACTAAATGAAATTGTTTAACTTTGATAAACCCTCTAAACTAAACTTTGACTAATCTTATTCTCCAGGCTTTTAAAACAATAAATCTGTGAAGTGTCCCTTTAGTGTAAGAACTAATGCTCCAACGAAATCAATGTTGAATATCAGCTGAAGATGAACTGTGGTCTCCAGTGTTGGAGCGCTGGTTCATCCATCTAAATGTCCTGACCTCTATTCGACTTCTTCCCATCTGATTCTAAAGAGCAGTTTTCCGTGGGTTTAAGCAACGTAGGAACGTGGGATCACTGGCCTTTATCGGTAACCTTCCACAGCTCTGCTTAGCCACCGCATGAGTGTACAACCACCCTCTCAGTGCTCTGCTATCTTCATCCCAATAACATGTATGAAGAGGTTAAGTACACCAGGACTTGAATACTGAAATCCTCTGAAGCCCTGGAGGCTTCTTTACCTTCTGCCATTAGTAAACAGCGCCGCTTAAGTGCATCAGCTGCTCGGCAATGTAAAGATGATGCTTAACCCCAACGATATTGTTTTATATCCACTATCAACAGCCATAAGACATTTCCCACACAAGATGATATCCCACCCATAACACACCCGCCTTTTATCCAAAGAAGCCTGAGGCTAAAAGAAAACATGATCTGAAATTTTTATGCAGAGCTAAACCAGTGAGCTACAAGAGCAGACTCCCTTCTCAGAGACACCCTGGAAACCCTGAAGGAGACGCCACAGAAGCTTGGAAATGTGCAAATGAAGCTTCATTACGCCAATCTGAAGGCATGACCGTGGGCGGGAGGTTAAAATGTGTTAATGTGCTGACCCTGGGATTTTTCGCTGTTGGTCAGCAGGCCTGTTGTGAGGCTTCTGTGCAAGCTGATAATCCAGCAGTTTGGAAAGACATGCAGACCTTCATCTTATGCAGAAAGAAAAGACCATATTCCCATGGCAACTATCTATTTCTGATGTCAAACTCATATTGATGTCATGTAAAATTAAGGGGTTCAAGGAGCCTCATTGATTGAGATAACGTGTTAACCACTTCCTTGTCAAGAGTTAAATAAAAAAATCATGGTGAGATGAAAAAAGAAAAACATTTGCACAGGTAGACTGATGAGACTTTGAAAGTGCTCATGTTGATGTTAGTGTCTAGGTTTACATCATGTTCATCAGGCGACAATACGATCATTAAGTTCTGTACAAGCAGGCGGTTTAATCTTTGACTTTGTTAACTGGCGGCTTTCAACCTGTTACAACGCCAACCACAGAAAGTTACAGGAAAACAGGGTCACTTCTTAAATCTTACCAATCAGTACAATTACAAATTAAATAAATCAATTTATCTGAGTGAAACTAGACTTTTAAGAAGCATATAAACTCATTAGTCTGACTGAAATCGCCAAAGAAAGGCACCTGGTACCTCCAGCACATCAAACACCTCAGTCACTAACCCGTCTCTTCTCCTCTGTTGTCCCTACCTCCATTCGATCCGCGGAGTCCCTCTCTACTTTCAAAAGACAGCTAAAGACCCAGATCTTTAGAGAACACTACGCACTTAGCTAGATTATTCTCCACTGTTGTCCCCAGTGGTTGAATGAGTCTTACCGTTACCGTAGGCTCACAGTGTCCTGCTCTACTTCTGGGATTTTGTGCCCAGCTCTTTGTGAGTGACCCAGCACTTGGTACTTTGATCATTATTGTGGTGACGACAATTTAATGATGGTGATGATGAAAGGACTTACATTGGTAATTGGTTGCTTCATGGTTGATGTTTAAAAAAAAAGAAAAAATCCTTTATACACTTTGTGAATCGCCTTCAACACTGCTTGGAAGCGCCTGTGTCCAAATGGACTTGAAGAATTTTGTGGCTCCTACTGATCTTTTTCTTCTTGTCTAGATCTTTGCTTGTTTTGGTCTCTTTCTCGAATGTAAGTCACTTTGGAGAAAAACGCCTGCTAAATGACACTGTAATATTGTAATATACCTGGAATTATGCAGTCTGAGACCAATTTTGTCCCTCATGTATACAGATCAACTAGACAGAAACTGGCCTTTCAACGTCTAACTGTCTCCACACACCAAGCGTATGAATTACATGTTAAGTCAATGTAAAGACGCGATTAGATGCTCCTACTACGCTGGCCGCACGCATGATGCAAGTTGGGCAGAAGCTGAATATGTCTCAACTTGAGCGGATAACTAATCATGATAACTAATCAGCACGAAGGTTTCTGGATGACATATGAAAACGGACAATTGTTCACCGGTATCTAAAATGGAGGACAATCTGATCGTGGCGGTGTGGTCGCCCTAACTTGTTTGATACCTTTTCCTTTAATTATAAAAAGCAGAATAAAAAGGAGGTCGGATTACCTGGTAAATTGTAAAAAACTTTTGTCTATCACTTGAACCCGCCGGTTGAATTGGCTGGAATTACCATTGGAATTACTGTTGATGCGCAAATGAAGCGATTAAATACAATGTATTCATGCGTCTAGATTCGCACGAATTAAGCGAGTAGATGGTTTAATTGCGTTTGGTGTTAGCGCCCCATTATAGTGCAAATTTGTTGCTAGGAAGCAGAGTAGTAAACACAACCTTGGTAGACGAAGTAATGACGAAAAAATGACAAAACTCCCCGTCGTACAAACATAGAGAGCAGGGTTATCAGCGAATGGCGTACATCCCATCAGCCTTTCGTTAATGAGTTTTATCAATCGTTTTGATACCCAGAGATGACCCACACAGCAAAGCACCCTGGTACATTGTAGTACATATTTATGGCTGGATAATGTTGCATACAAATAGACACCAACATTAACATGAGCGCTTTTCTATAAGAAATAACTTTGGCGTGTGTAAATGTTTGTCCTTTCCTATCGTGTCTGTTATTTGTCACAGTTTCCCACATTGAGCATGATGTCATAAAACGATGGCTGCTGTGTGAAATGGTCTATTACCCTGATCACATGAGGCCGAGGCATGAGCGCTCTGGCGTTGGGTCAATAAGAAAAAAGACGTCCAGTTTCTAATGAGGTACTTAGTCCTCTTTAGTGTCTTTGCTTTTTATGACAGCCTCACCTAAAGGGTTTAATCTTCAAAGCCCAGTCATGTGAGACGTGAAGGTGTTGAATGACTCCTAAGAGAGCCTCGAAAAGCCTTTTGTACACCCTGAAAGACTGCCCTATTTTCAAGCTTTTTAAAAGACTCACCTCCTTATCGAGTGAAACCTCTTCACTTTGTGCAACACGCCCATTTCTTCTCACAATGTTTGCCTCCGTGGAGCAGAGTCACTCCCGTTCGGGCGCCCACTCTACCGACTTGCCATTAATGATTACCTGCCATGCCTGCACTGGGAGATGTGCCTAATTAATTATACATGTAAACCAGGCCTTATTTTAAACAGACTTTTCCGCCGAATGATACAGCTGTCAATCAAAACCACTGAGTCGCAGCCAAGCCGCCGAGCGTGAGTCGCTGTCATACTTTTGGCTGTTAGAAAAAAGGCGAAGGCAAGCGCTCAAGAAGTGTAGCACACATTTGTCATGTCTGAAATCAGGATTGGATGAGGGACGAGTGATATTAGTCATCATTAGGGAAGAGAGGAGGAGGGAGGACGAGGACGGAAATGAGCGTTCCCGTTTGGTAATGCTGTCGAACAAGGTTGCGGTAAAACTGCATTTCTCTTCTTGACAGGTGTAGAAATGATTTGGAAAGAGAATCTGGCATTGGAATTTTCTTTTTTTTTTATGAAATGAAATTTTCTTTCAGAAGACAGGTCATTTCTTTCACAGGGAAAGACTGCCTCTTTTAACTTTGTATTTACTGACTCAGTCTGAAAAGATAGATACTTGGCAGGAGGACTGAAAAAGTTCATCGATTAGATGCAGAAATTATAGCTTTTACTCAGATCTCTGTTTTCTTATTGTTCTTTTGTCTTGGATTTAGGCTTCATTAAAAAGAGAATTTTATGTCTTCAAAGATGTCCAAAGGAGATGGTTAAAAAACAGTAATTAAGTTATTTAGCCATCAAAAGCAAGTCCAAAATGTGGAGTTTTTGTTGTCTTGCTTAAAGACTGTTGATCCAAAAAAAACAAACAAAAAAAACGATGTCACCTTAGGATCTAGTTTGGGAAATTGTCACTACTTTTTAACACAATTTGCACTCAGAGCAGATTTCATCATTCTTTTCAGCTTCACACAGAACATCGGGTCATTTTTCACCAGTATTGCAGCTAGTTACCGCATGATGACATTCCTTGCCCCCCCTCCACACACTCACACACACATGAAGTTGCACCACTGACAGTGAATACAAATGTAATCTCTCAACTCTGACAGTCTGTTATCTTGATCCCATTCTGGTGAACCATTTTCCTCCCATGTTCACAAACCGGTGTTTCATTCTCACCCCGTGTCACTGCCTCCATCCCTCACATCTGTCTGTCTAATGGCCCCACAGACTCTCTCTGGATACTTCATTATGATGACAGACATCCGCCAGACGAGCAGAGCCTTCATGTGTGTGTCCAATTCAGGAATCACTTTCTTTGCTCTTTTACACGCCCCGCTCAGTGACCCTGCTTTCACCTGGAATTAAAATGGGTCAATGAAATCCCAAGGAAAAGAGGTGAGAGAACAGAGTCCTGGTTCAGATGCAGCCAAAGGGATGAAATCAGATAATCCGGATCTAAGGGATCTTAACCTTAACCCTGAACCTACTCCCTTAAGGGAATCTCTGCAAAGGAACAGAATCTGTACTCAGGAGTCTGGATTTAACGCATGGGAAGGGTTGGCTGCTGTTTGCAGTATATATGTGGTAGAAATGCCAATCAAATCAGCAGAGGTTACAGTTAATACTTTTACTTATTCATTATAATGTTATTTCAAAGTTAAAATTACTATAGGGTCAAACACACAGTAACACTGAGTTAGACACCCCCTCAAAAGATTAATGTTGCCGACTGCTTGCTTTTCCAGTTATACCAACTTTAGTAACGTCCGCACAATAGCAATACACAGCGGTCTGAGGAGCCATAAACAAACGTCAACCAAAACGCCACTCTATAGCCACAAATAATGCTCAGAATTGCACCAAACTTCATCAATTTCCTTAGCAAAGAGACTAAACACAAGTCATCTACTCTCTTCCAGCAGCCGTTTGTTTGTAGCGAGACCTTGGGCCAATCCATTTCGGACAGCTGCGTGGTGACGCAGCTCAAGGAAGAACAGTTATGATCATTTCTTTATCATTTTCTTGAAGTAATAATCACCATATTAATCATTTCGCACTGCAGACACGGTAGTTCTTCTGGTCTGATTGCATTTCCATGAAGAAATGATCATAAATGTTCTTCCTTGAGCTGCGCCACCCCTCTGCAGTCCGTAATGGACTGCCCTGAGGTCTCACTACAAACAAATGGCTGCTGGAAGAGAGTAGGTGAGTTGTGTTTAGTCTCTTTACTAAAGAAACCAGGCAAAATTAAAAAGATGTTTGGTGGCTAGTACTATGGCTGGGACCCTATATGTACTGTTGATGAAGTTAGTTGCTGTTCTGAGCATTATTTGTGGCTACAGAGTGGCTTTTTGGTTGAGGTTTGTTTTTGGCTCCTCAGACCGCTGTGTATTGCTATCCTGTGGTCATTACTAAAGTTGGTATAACTAGAGAAGCAAGCGGTTGGCAACATTCATCTCTCGAGGGGGCGTCTAACTTGGTGTTACGGTGTGTTTGACCCTAAATTAATTTTACACTGAAATATCCCTTTAAGACCTGGAAGTTTTATGCAAATGAGAGAACATATAGTCGGTTTCTCCTTCGGGCTCATATTGCTTAAGTCCAGAGTGATGCCACTGCTGTTGAAATGAGACCCACTAAAAGATAATGAAAGGGTGCGACTACCGGGGAAGTAATGGGCCAAACACAATGGTGTTTACATTGCAGACATAAATGCAGAGGAGAAAGCTGATGAATGCTGACTACCAGCCATGCGGTGAAGTATAAGTAATGGGGTGAATGATATTGTTCCGTTACGATTGTCCCATTCACAGCGTCACAACTGCTTCCAACCAATTCATTTTCGATGCGTTTAAAGATTTCTTTTGAAATAATAATCTGAGTCATTAACGGGAAAGCGTTTATGTAACCGTCAGGGGAGACTGAGAAACTGGAGCGCACGGTAACATGCCGAGGCAGAGATTTTCGAGCAGGTGTTTTAGCGTTGACCTCCTGCAGAAATAATTTCAAGAGGGTAAAACCCGAAAAGTTAATTAACTTATCATAAACCCCTGAGGGAGCTCTAGACCTGGTCTAACCTCAGGGGAACTTAAAGCAGAAAATAATAGTAAGTGTATAGTTACAGTTCTTTATTTAATTTACTTCAGACTCAACCAGAGAGAACAGTAAATCCCACACAGTCATTAGCCTGAGACAAGACAACTGAGACAAGTCACTTTTTGCTCATTTGGAAGTAAATATAAAAAGACTTTGTGCATCGTGGTAACTATGGAGATATAAAGTAATCTGTGGAAGAACTTACCAGGTGTTAAAGCGCAGTCTGAATCATAAGTTGCAACTAAAAGATGGAAGAACTCAAAAACCTAAATGATACAAACAGCTTGTTCATGTTTACCAGAGTGGCTCACAGACAAAAAGCCGATTTCACACCATCACTCCTTGAATCCAGATTTCTCTGGCTGGTGTCTCCTCACATCTGTTCAGACGACAGTTTCCAATTAATGCTTCAGTTTTTGGCGCTTTATGATACATTTTGGGCACAGTGCTTTCGACTGCTGCCTCACAGCGAGAGAGTCCTGAGTTCAAACCCCACTGGGGCCTTTCTCTGAAGGTTTGCATGTTCTTCCAATTCTTATGTGGATTTCCTCTGGGTGCCCCAGTTTCCTTCTACTTCAAAAGACACGCATGTTAAGGATATGCCTCTGACACTGCCTTTCACTTAGGTGGGTGCTGGTCTTGCATCAGGAGCTTCTCATTCGGCGTCAGAATGAAGATTCATTTAAATACGGAGGACAAATTCAAGACAGGGGGAATGTAACTTTCAAAAACCTGATTAAATTGTAGATTGAGGCTATAAAGACTGTAAAGATCTTTCCCACTATAAATCTACACCAGGTGTAAAAATAATCCAGCACATAAAGACAATCATTGTTCTCAAATATCCATGATATTAGATCATATTCATGTGGCTGCCTAGCTTGTTCGCCTTTAGCCAATGATGGGTTATGCTGCATTCCAGTTGTACTCAGAAGTCGGGATTTCAGAGCTCTGAATCGGAAATTCATCTGGAACACCCCCCTGAAGTCGGATTTCTGACTCAGAAAGTCGGACGTAATGTAATGTATTTTTTATTAGTGCTTCTGTTTTGTTTTTGTAGAATTAAATAAGTGGTATATGTCGTGCTGCCCAACGTTTAACTCTGAACACAGTGCTATGGTGTTTGTAAGAGTAAAATACTGTGTTGTGCGTGGTTTACAACTGGTATCGCTAACGACGACTGCCAACCGTTGACAATAGCCAACAACAGCTGACAATTGTTAACAACAGCTAACAACAGGTAACTGTAGGAATCCATCTTGATTTTCCGACTTGGTAACTGGAACGCTGTCAAATCGGGTGAAGTGTCATTCCCAGCTCCGACATCCGACTTCTGAGGTAACTTGAACGCAGCATTAGGCGCTTGTAAAATGTGGTGAGCTGAGCTGCGAAAAAAGTTACTCTCCGTTGAATTTAGCTTCACTAAGCCAAAGCACCAAAGAAATGTAGCAAAAGTAGTTCAGTAGCATCAAAGCTACTTTCAAATTGTATTTATTATGAGTAAACCTGAGTTTTCCTCTATCAACACATCCAAACTGCAGCTCCTGATTCACAAAAATTAAAAAGCAACAGCTCTTGTTTGAACAGCGGTGTTGTCCACACACTTTTTGAAGCCGAGAGAGATTCCCCCAGAGGAGGTCAGTGACTGAACTGTCCACCATCGGGGGGTCTTTTTGTTCTCTGATAGCTCCCATGTTCCTGGCGCTAATCGCTTAATTAACAGCACTTTCTGCAATTCAATTAAAGCAAGCGTAATGGTGTACAATGTGTGGAACAGTGTTGACCCTGGAGGCAATCCGCAGTCCCTCGACAATTACCCGGCCTTCCACGAGAACTGTCAGAGGGGGCAAAGGATTATTATGTGAGCGCTTTATGGAACAGTTCACTGTGGAGGCAATAGAGCTGCATGAGAATAATGTCCATGTAAAGTGAGATAATGTGAATTACTGTGAATGTGAATGAATCAATTCGACAGTAAGACTGCTTACTGAATGATCATGGCAGACTAGATTATATCATTTATGCGCTAATGTGCCTGCAACATCCCTTTTCATTTTAACACCATGTTCTCAAAATTGCTGGTGGAAAAGTTTTTTAAGCGCTGCCATACTGTGAAAAGGACCTAGTTCACTAAAGGACTGCAGGGGTTTTGCACCTGCTAAATCTGTGCAAATGCAGCAAAAAATACCAACTCTTAAGGCGCATGCAAAGGGTTCAGTGCACCACAAAATGTTTTGCAGAGGAAAAATAGCTATGCTGTTTGTACACATTGGAAAGTGGCATCATGCATTAAATAAAGGCATATTTCCTGTATTCCAGGTACATTAACCCTACTGCAAAAAGTGTCTCATTCGCAGACACTAACGTCAGCTTTTTGAAGATGATGTGAAATATTCACAAACTGCTAGAAGTTTATAGAGGAAGTTAAACCCAAACTTTTTAGTTATCACAACAATAATTCCACCTCTGGTTGACCTAAACTAATATCTATTAACTGAAAGTCTTTTCAATTACTTTGATATCATCAATGCTGATAGTTCAGGCACACTTCTCCAGGCTCTTGAAGCTTCTTATCTATTTCCCACCGGGTTATTTACATTGATTTTCCCATGTTGTGAGTACTTGTGTATGTAAGTAATTGTGTGTGCCTGTGTGGATGAATAAGACGGCTGAAGTTCCTCTGTATTGGAAAGGGGGGAGGAGGAGTAAGATCAACATGAGCATGGAGAGCGAATTATAGTATAGAGTAGAGATTGACTGATTTTGGTTTAGGGAAGAAGAGAGAAAACTGACCCAGAAGGAAAGAAGAAAGACAGAGTTTCTTTTTCTCTGGTTTTTGGCCTGAATGAGATGGTAGTGTTGACGTGGGTTGAGTATTCAGTGGTGGTATAAAATGTGAAATTTGAGTTGTCAGGATGAGAGTGCAGCTCTGCGCAGCAAAATGTATTTCCACAATCAGTTACAAACAAGAGCAAACTATAAAGCACTTCAGAACTTTATCACCTTTTATTGAGGTAATATACTTTGTGAATTGGACCTTGAAATGAAGACAATAAAAAACATTCACGTCTTGAAGCTATTTGCGTCTGCAATCCATTCATATTTAATCCGCCCCAAATGTTTTCACTTTCATTTTGAGACAACCACACTAACAGAGCTGTGACCTGGAAATTTGAGACAGTCATATAATATTCAACGAGAGTGCTTGGATCAGGTTTCATTTAAGGTAAATCCTTTTGGGAAGTTGTCTCTTCATTAGCCTTTGTATTTCATATTGAAATGTAAGTCAGCCAATCTAAAAAGATAGAGAGCGCAGGGAACGAGAGAAGAGACTCCAGGCCAATACCATCAACCTTTCTTCAAATTGTTTACGTGCAATCTCATCTGGAAAAATGTGAATAATTGCATTTACATTGAGAATACAGCTCTGTAATGACAGTGGAGACTGGTGACAAGATTTGGCAAATAAGAGCGTGACATTTACCAGACTGAGCTGGTTAGTGAAGAGAGGGTCAAAACAAGAGGTGATGCTGTTGCGCACTCTTCTGATCCATCCCCTAAAGGCTGTCCGACCCTTTTTTTGGCCTTCTCATTATCAAACTGCGCATGCAGCAAAGTCCCCCTCCCATAATGTACCTCTTCTGGAGTTAATTAATGGCCTAATTAGGCAAACTCATTAGCAATGAACTGTAATTCTCTTATTTCATCTGCTCATTAGCTGACAGTATTCATAATTAGCGGCATTAGGACGATTACTGCATGGCAGGTTGGCCAGCATCAGGTCTCGTTTAGTGCTGTAGGTGCCCTGCGGTGCATGCACTGAGGTCTCATACCGACTCCATAAATCAGATTTGATGGATGATAAAGGTATTAAAAAACACTAAGAAGTGTGTGGCCCCAACCGAGAAGGTCAGTGAAGGTCAGATTAGCTACCATGAACAGAACCACATCATCAGTAAAAGTGGATCACATAGGCAGACTCTTTCATAACGCTGGGTGTCTTAGCATTCGCTCAATAACACTGACTTCTCTGGGGAATGGGAATCACTATCATTAGCATGAAAACAATTGTTCAGATGTCAACAGTACTTTTCGAAAATTGCTTTCAATTCCATACAAAACAGCACAATGTCCATATTCATGATCAAAGAGAGGGTTTTTAATTTATAGCATTGTCTATTCTGCTTATTGTCTTGTATAACAAACCTATTCCAGTCATGCACCGTCAAAAGAAATGCAACAGCACAACAATGGAGACGAGTTTATTTATTTAAATTACAATTAATCAAACAGAGAGAAATAATACAGCTGCATGGTAACTCATCACGAATCTAAGCCAGTGCTGAAACATCTTTTCAAATTTGTATCATGCTGGATGTTTCTCTGTTTTATTTGTCTGTAATTGGAATAAGTCCCCGCTCCAGTTAGAAACACAGT